AGGTACTGATTTTATGTGGGTTTTCTTTTTTGTTCTTAGTCTGTTAAAACTTAGTTTAATCTTTTTTTTCTTTTTCCTTTTCTATGGATGGAGTTGATAAAGCTTAGTGATTTCTACCCTTTCCCTATAAACTCCATAAATCCTGTTCTTAATCATTTTGCTAGAAGCTTTTCATACACTAAATGTTAGCCAGCTTGATTTCTTCCCAGTTATTTTATAGTGACCTTTATTTGTCAGACTGTTGAGCCTCTCATGGTATACCTGTTTATATTTCCAAGATGTTAGGCTGTATGTGACTTTATTTTTCTCAGAATATTTTCCAATCTGTCTTTTCTTTTTCAAATCTTGCAAGACTTTTTAAATATTCTGTGAGTCAGAGCTACCCATTTTCTGGAAGGAGGTCTTCTTTGTACCATGTTGTACAGGAGGAACAGAATAGTTGGACTCTTATTCCTAGTTTTCTGTCTGCCTCTGCATGGCTGACTGTACTCTTCTCCTATAGTGACCGGAGCTTTGGCACTGTTGCCACAGGTAAGGCGAAGGCATAGGGAATAGGAGGTGGAGGGAAAAAATGAGAGCAGTGCTGTGGTTTAGTAGAGTGTGACCAATAATTATCTCGATTTCCAGCCTCTGGAACATACTTGTATTGTGAACAATGACTAGTATGTTAAGAGTCAAAGGTGTACAATTTTAGGTTCTGAGGGACCGAGCTCATGTCATTCAAACTGTATAATTTGTAAATAAGAATGCAATATATAGTGATAGTATGACTCATTATCCAAGGTTATATAGTTAATACATTGAAATCAGTCCTTTGGAATCCAAACCCAGTATTTTAATCTACTTAGCAACTTCTAGTGGTTTATTTCCGTTTGCTCACTCACAGAATATTTAGTGAGCAGCTTATAGGTACAAATGATCAATGTTAGGTATGAAAGGTGAATTCGTATATAACCTCAAATTTAATGATCAAGAGAAAGAAATAGAGTGATTTTAATAGTACTGGGATGTGTTAAGTGAAGTAAAAATGATTCAAAAGATGTAGATGTAGATTTTAAAAGCATATGAAGTTTTTTATTCTTTAACTTGTGTCTTACTACAAAAGTAATGCTTATTCATGATACAAATCTAGACAATGGCAAAGCAAATTACATCTCATCACCAGAAACATTTTCTCATGTATGTTGGTATGTGTAATTTTTTAAATTACAAAAATGGAGTTATTCTAAATATTCTCTCTTGTAATCTGATTTGTGACCTGGAGATCCAGGCTGGGGTACCTGAGAAGGGCGAGGCAGTTATGAACACCGCCAGCTCATGTTTTAGCAATAGTTGTAGGTATGAATGGGCAAAGTTTAAGGGACTTAAAGGCTCAGTTAGAATGGAGTTTATGTGTTGGGGAATCTGAGTTGGAGTAGGAGAGGATTAATGCTCATTGGTAGAAAGCAAATTATTGCCTGATTGGCAATAATTTTTTTCCTTCCTCTGGCCATAGTCTGTTTTCAAGGTTGTTTCAGTGGATACCAGTGGGATCCCAGAACCAGTGGCCTGGACCTACAATTTTAACTAGAAATACTAGTGAGCTGTAGAATCTGGAGGTAAGGTGCTGATATCAGTGAGCCAATCATGATCAGTCTATTGAGGATCCTTCTTCCTGGAGGGAATTGTGGTATAGTTGAAAAAAGCAATGAATTGGAAATTTAAGGTCTCTGATAAATGGCAATCTGCTGATGGCTTTTTTTGGCTAACTTCTTGGCCTTTCAGGGACTTAATTTCTTTATTTGCTTCTTCTACTGGTCACTGGCTTATAAGATTAGCAAATTATTGTAAAATGAAGTTCTTCTTAAATTTTAATGGGCTGTATGAATGTAACATGATATTAGTACTAATGGTGAAAATGGAATTTTTTTGTTCTTCAAATGCAGGCTTTTTATGTGGTGCCTAGAATGTCACTTAAAATTTGCCTGAATATATGAAGCCTTAAAATTTAGGTCTTGTGAAGAACATTTATTTCTTTTTATGCATATACTTAGTCTTTGGCCTTGGATATTGCTTTTGAAATCTAAAAGATAACTCATGGGTGTTTTTGTAAGCATTAAAAAGAAAAGAAAGTGAAATGTGCTTATGCCTTCTTAAAAGATTTCTTATTTTTGAAATAAAGTTTACTGGAAATTAATGGGTTGTGTGTGGGGGATAATATTACATTGTTTCTGGGAAAAGATGTTCCTGATGTAAATGGGTAAAATGGCCAGTGTGATCTTTTTTAATAGATGTTTGCCTTGTGGGATTCAACTTTGGACATTTTTTTTTGGGAGTTTTTTTCCTTCTAAATTTTGGTGTTACAGTCTCTCTTAACCTTGTGCATGGGTATACACACACACACACACACACACGCATACACACACATTTAGCTATAGTTTTGACAGGTTTATATATGACCCCTTTGTGATTTTAATTATGACTTATTCTCCCAGATTCTCCTTGGTTGCATGAATGGGTAAATAAGATAGATGTGGATGAATCAACTTCTTATTCCTGCTTATGAGTCAGTTTGAAGATCTGAGAGCCTCAGCAGATGCTTTTATGATATCCTAGAGATTCTGTTTGTTCCTTTTCCCAAGTTTTGGCCCTGTGTATTTATTTCCTCTTTCCATCTCTGAACTTGGAGGTAAAATGTTAAAGGGGTTGGTTATCCTTTAACCTATTGATCTCCCTCTTTCACTTTGGGTCACACAAAATAGGCCTTTTTAATTCTGGAGGTAACTAACCACCACAAGAGCCTGGCTGCCTTGAGGGCATTTTGGTAAGGGCGCTGTGGAATGGCCGTTACTAACTGCTCTCTGTTCTGTGTGACCCATAACCTGCCCTTGGTGAGACTGTGGAACTAAACAAGTTGTGATGTCTTTCAGGTACTGGTTTGCACAAGTGTCACCTCCCTACTTCATAATATTAATACTTTCTGCTTTCACAGATGGTTTAGTCTAACGCTGCTTAGGGGGGAATGCTTTAAATTCATATTTCTCTATCATAAATAAAGATGAAATATTGGAATCATATTAGTTTGTGTGAAAATACAATGAGTAACTATTTAGTACTAGTTTTTCAGTTATGAAACATATTGTAAAATGAGTAAGTAGGTTCAGTTTTACTCTTTCCTCCCTGTTTAATACACATGCATTTAGAAAACCAAGAAAGCAAAAGACAAAAGCATCCACTGGATTCTCTCAAATGATGCCTTTTTCCCTAGAAAACTTTAATCTTCTCTAATATTTGATTAATTCCTAATTGTTCTTCAGGTGTCGACTCTTAGATGTCATTTCTTCAGTTTTCCCGACTTCTAGACTACATTCAGTGGAACTCTCTGTTATGTTCTTGTGGCTTCCTGTTTGTCTACTGTTAACACCACTTTATTGTTTACTTAATGGTCTTAATGTTTCTCCCTAATAGTCTATAAGCTGTGTGACAGCCAGAACTATGTTGTATTGCTTTATTTCAATTGCTGCATATAGTGGCCTCTTAAAATTTTTTAAATTTGTGAATTAAAAAGAAGTTTTAACACTTTTAAATGGGGTTTCACCTTATATGTAGGAGTGGAGTTTTAAAATCAGTGGGTGAGGTAAAAATTGCCCTTCAGCCTTCATAGTCCAGTAAAATGATTAGTCAAAGTTTTTCCCTCCAGTATTCAATAATAAAAAACTCTGCTAACATACAATTGTATACAGTCTCTGTACACAGACATTGAAGGTCTTCCAAAACCAGATGCTGATATATCTTTCTGCCAATCTTTCCTGCTGTCCACTTATGTACACTGGCTTAAGTTGTTTCTCCTATCTTGTTCTCTCTCTAAGTTTGCCCTATATTTTCCGATTTCCACTCCTTTGTTCATGCCATTCTCCTGCTTTGGAATACCTTAGCTTTTCTCTTTCTGTCCACTTCCAAGGCCCTCCTCAGACTCTGTCTGCTGTGGCAGGTTTCTGTTTTTCTCTGGCTAACCCTGAGCAATCTCTTTTCACTTCTGAGCTCTTGGCATTTATTGGCTGTGGTTGTATTGTCACTTTGACACTTAGTAATTTACCACCTTGGGGATAGTCTCTTGAATCTCTTGCTTTTTGTGTTTGTCTTTTCTAGTCAATTCGATTGTTAGATCATGGAAGATGGGGATATTCATCCTCTATTTCTTTGCGTTCTCCACAGTTTATGCCTGGCACAAAGTTTCTCAGAAATTTCTTTGGTTAGCTATAAAAATTTGCTCCTCACATTTTATAGCATGAACCCTGAAGGGAGTGCTTTGGTGAGATTACTTTTCTTTTGTGCCTAACACATTTCTGCAAATACCCACTTCCATTTTGTCTTACCTGTTGCACGTAATCGCTGACACCGAGGTGTCAGAGAAATCTGTATGCAAGCAGCACAGAAGCTTAAGTAGCTATGGGTACCTGGCAGCCTGTAGTAGAGATTTCTGGTGGTGCAGCATAAAATAAGATTTCACTAGGTGAGGGGAGACAAGTCCATGGATTGGAGGCAAGTTTTTCACCTGAGCTGAGATCCATTTCTTATAGCTGATGCATTTTAACAGTGTTATTTCCAGGAATAAGTAAAATACTCAGGAAGATGTTTTGGGTTCCTTAATCTATTAGGTGCCATGTTTATTTTAAATGACTAATTTTATTACAACACTACAGTGGCTTGAATGAGGAATTGTCTCCTTACTCACCTCTATTTAAGAAATTCTTATTGTTTTGTTTTTTTCCTTAGGATCTCTCTCTCCTATTGTGTTATAGACTGAAAGTCACTAGTAATTATAACTAGTAATGAAATTTTGAAAAAATGTGTTCAGAGCCCAAGTTTTCTGTTGCCAAAGAAATGTAAAAAATGGTATTCCTATTATTTGCTAATTAGGTGAACTTGCTTCTGTGTTACGTATTCATCAAACTGTCAAAATATATAAAATGCAGATTGCATTGATGTGGAAGAGATTTTATTTTTTTGTTTTTGGTTAGGTACAAAGAGGATGGTGAAGCTTTACTGATTTTGCTTCCCTCAGAAGAAAAAGGGATGGTGCAGCTGCTTCTTCAGAAGAAAGTGCCTGTGAAAGAAATCAGGTGAGAAATACTTGGTGTCTGGGTGTTATTGTTGGGAAAACAAACGCATGAAATTATGCTTAATGACTATGCACCTCATTCCTTCCTCCCTCTAATATTCAGTGGTCTAGTTTGTGACCTTGTTTTTTACAATTTTTGGTTAAAAAACAAACATTTTTTTCCCCAGAAGAATGTTAGTGGAAAAAATAAGATGAATAACAGAACTTGTCAGCTTCAGCAAGAATTGATGGTTGAAAGGATTAAGCCTCTTGGGTGCAATTATTTTTTTGGGTTCTTGTCCATTCTAGAGGGTTGTGCTGTGTCTTGCCACTGAAGATATTTAGTCAGCAGAATTAATCAGAATCAGTGTCTCATTTGTACTGGGGCTCTTGAAACACCCTGGCTTTATTTGGAGGAAAATAATTTGGAGGGTGGTTTTTCCTGCATTATTCATAATACACAAGAAGGTCAAATTTATGTGTAGTGTAATTGTAGTTTAATTTGGTTCATAGATGAGAAGTAATGTTACATATTTAAAGATAGTGAGGAAAATAAAATTCTATATACTGTTTTCAGTTTCTAAAATTGAAATATCTGTTTAATCTTTCTCTCTTTGTTACAAAGAATCAATCCAGAAAAACTTATAGATATCCAGAAAAAATTAGAATCGTTTTTAGCTCAAGATCAAGATTTAAAAGAAAGAGCTCAAAGGGTAAGTCATTTTTGAATTGGATAACTTCCTTGGAATGGTGGAATGGAGCATATAATATAGTTAAACTTGTTATCACTTTCTTCTACTTCTAAGTTGCATAGTTATGCTTCAGATATTAAAGTAGTATAATTTTCAGATAAGTTTAGCTTATTTAACTTCTAAAAAATTACATATTTCTTATAGTTCTCTGGCAAAATATGTATTACTTATCCATAATCCTGTCAGACATAGAGAAAATCCTCCTAAAAATCATGTGCACAGTGGCCTGATTTCTAGTATACTTGAAAAAGTTAACTTTTGATTACTTCAGTAAGTTACTGTAACTCTGGACTGTACTTTCTTGATTGTGAGTTTAACAGCTTATATTATGTTAAATTTCCAGAAACTATAGGACTCTTACAAATTTGTCTTTAAGAATGAGATTTTAATGTGTAAATATGACTTAATGTTTCCAGATTACTTTTTTGGACTTTGTAGTCTTCTTGATTAGCAAATATAAAAAGAAGTTTTTTTTTTTTTTGAGAGGACACCTCTCATATTTATTGATCAAATGGTTGTTAACAACAATAAAATTCAGTATAGGGGGGTCAATGCTCAATGTACAATCATTAATCCATCTCAAGCCTAATTCTCGTCAGTCTCCAATCTTCTGAAGCATAACGAACAAGTTCTTACATGGTGAATGAATTCTTACATAGTGAATAAATTCTTACATGGTGAACAGTACAAGGGCATTCATCACAGAAACTTTCGGTTTTGATCATGCATTATGACCTATAAACAATCAGGTCAAATATGAATATTCATTTGATTTTTGTACTTGATTTATATGTTGATCCCACATTTCTCCTATTATTATTATTATTTTTATTTTTAATAAAATGCTGAAGTGGTAGGTAGATGCAAGATAAAGGTAGAAAACATAGTTTAGTGCTGTAAGAAGGCAAATGTAGATGATCAGATGATCAGGTGTGTGCCTATGGACTAAGTATTAATCCAGGCTAGACAAGGGCAGCAAGACATCCACGGATGCAGAAGATTTCTCTCAAAGCAGGGGGGGTGAGGTTCTGAGCCTCACCTCTGTTGATCCCCAAATTCTCACCTGATGGCCCCCCTGCGACTGTGCCTGTCTTAGGTTGTTCCTCCCTTGAGGAATCTTACCCGTCTCTGGCTAACCAGTCATCTTCCGGGGCCATACAGGGAAATGTAAAGTTGGTAAGTGAGAGAGAAGCCATATTGTTTGCAAAGGTTAGCTTTTTACTTCTTTGCAGATTTATGCCCTGTGGCTTCTATGCCCAGCACTTGTCTCGAGGTATCTTTACCACCTGGAGGAATTATGATACTCGGTAAATTCGATATGAGGCACGAATTCTATTTAAGGGTTGTAATTAGGAAGGAAGAAGAAAAGCTATAGATGTAGCATATGAAGGAAACTTGGGAGGATTGATTATTTCTTTGACATATCTTCTTGTATAGTACCTTAAGTATGTATAGGTTTTAAACTACTAACTAATTTGCACACACATATTAACATAATAGGAATACGGTGACATAAACAAAGCAAATCTATAATTACCAGCCATCTCCAGTGAAGCCAAGAAAACCATTTAGGCACCCTAGGCATTTGTGAAAATTTATCTATGATATGATGGATATTTTCCAACTGTACTTGAACCATCAGACAAATTAAAGCAGCCCATTTCTGGGATCTGTTCACATCCCATATGTTCTTTTAACCATAGATAGTCTATAGTCATGAGATTTTGGGGTGCTACAACTTGCACCCCTCCCAACTCCTGGTTGAGTTCCAACAGTACAGATCCAGTCAAATTCGTTGTCTCACTGTATGCACATGCCAGCCTAGACATCTCCCTCCTCCTTCTTATGGCAAGTCCAGGAGACGGTGGGCTGGATGCAGCCACAACCGCAGCATCGTCCGGATCCCTGTGGAGGCTTTTTGATGATCATCCCCCGGCACGAGTCCTCCAGAGAGTGCTGATGCCGGAAGCTCCTCCTCATATCGTATCTTAGTTCATTTTCTGGGTATCCAAGCTAGGCCTTGATCTTCTGCGTAGAAACAAACAGACCCTTTGCCCACACTTTGACATGCCCTCTATACCACTGTGCAGAACTCATTGGAGGTCAGCACACAGTAACTGCTTTTTTTTTTTTTTTTTAATTAAGAGAAAGGAATATTATCAGAAAAGAGTACCTCCATAGCTGATCATCTGACACCCTTTAAGTGATCAACATTAAGGATATTTAAAGCATGCGTTGATCTTTGATTTACCAATAGTTTTATCCTGTTAAGGAGTAATCCCCCTTTTCTTTCTTTCTTTCTTTTTTTTTTTTTAATTTTTAATCTACACTTACCTGAAGAATACTATGTTTACTATGCTCTCCCCTATATCAGGTCCCCCCTAACAACCACATTACGGTTACTGTCCATCAGCTTAGCAAAATGTTGTAGAGTCACTACTTGTCCTCTCTGTGTTGTGCAGCCCACCCTCCCCTTTCTCCCTCCCCCCCATGCATGCTAATCTTAATACCCCCCTTCTTCTTCCCCCCCCTTATCCCTCCCTGCCCACCCATCCTCCCCAGTTCCTTTCCCTTTGGTACCTGTTAGTCCATTTTTGGGTTCTGTAATTCTGCTGCTGTTTTGTTCCTTCAGTTTTTCCTTTGTTCCTATACTCCTCAGATGAGTGAAATCATTTGGTATTTCTCTTTCTCCGCTTGGCTTATTTCACTGAGCATAATACTCTCCAGCTCCATCCATGTTGCTGCAAATGGTTGGATTTTTCCACTTCTTATGGCTGAGTAGTATTCCATTGTGTATATGTACCACATCTTCTTTATCCATTCATCTACCGATGGACATTTAGGTTGCTTCCAATTCTTGGCTATTGTAAATAGTGCTGCGATAAACATAGGAGTGCATCTGTCTTTCTCAAACTTGATTGCTGCGTTCTTAGGGTAAATTCCTAGGAGTGGAATTCCTGGGTCAAATGGTAGGTCTGTTTTGAGCATTTTGATGCACCTCCATACTGCTTTCCACAATGGTTGAACTAATTTACATTCCCACCAGCAGTGTAGGAGGGTTCCCCTTTCTCCACAGCCTCGCCAACATTTGTTGTTGTTTGTCTTTTGGATGGCAGCTATCCTTACTGGTGTGAGGTGATACCTCATTGTAGTTTTAATTTGCATTTCTCTGATAATTAGCGATGTGGAGCATCTTTTCATGTGTCTCTTGGCCATCTGTATTTCTTTTTTGGAGAACTGTCTGTTCAGTTCCTCTGCCCATTTTTTAATTGGGTTATTTGTTTTTTGTTTGTTGAGGCGTGTGAGCTCTTTATATATTCTGGACGTCAAGCCTTTATCAGATCTGTCATTTTCAAATATATTCTCCCATACTGTAGGGTTCCTTTTTGTTCTATTGATGGTGTCTTTCGCTGTACAGAAGCTTTTCAGCTTAATGTAGTCCCACTTGCTCATTTTTGCTGTTGTTTTCCTTGCCCGGGGAGATATGTTCAAGAAGAGATCACTCATGTTTATGTCTAAGAGGTTTTTGCCTATGTTTTTTTCCAAGAGTTTAATGGTTTCGTGACTTACATTCAGGTCTTTGATCCATTTTGAGTTTACCTTTGTATATGGGGTTAGACAATGGTCCAGTTTCATTCTCCTACATGTAGCTGTCCAGTTTTGCCAGCACCATCTGTTGAAGAGACTGTCATTTTGCCATTGTATGTCCATGGCTCCTTTATCAAATATTAATTGACCATATATGTTTGGGTTAATTTCTGGGGTCTCTAATCTGTTCCACTGGTCTGTGGCTCTGTTCTTGTGCCAGTACCAAATTGTCTTGATTACTATGGCTTTGTAGTAGAGCTTGAAGTTGGGGAGTGAGATCCCCCCTACTTTATTCTTCTTTTTCAGGATTGCTTTGGCTATTCGGGGTCTTTGGTGTTTCCATATGAATTTTTGAATTATTTGTTCCAATTCATTGAAGAATGTTGCTGGTAATTTGAGAGGGATTGCATCAAATCTGTATATTGCTTTCGGCAGGATGGCCATTTTGACGATATTAATTCTTCCTAGCCATGAGCATGGGATGAGTTTCCATTTATTAGTGTCCCCTTTAATTTCTCTTAAGAGTGACTTGTAGTTTTCAGAGTATAAGTCTTTCACTTCCTTGGTTAGGTTTATTCCTAGGTATTTTATTCTTTTTGATGCAATGGTGAATGGAATTGTTTTCCTGATTTCTCTTTCTATTGATTCGTTGTTAGTGTATAGGAAAGCTACAGATTTCTGTGTGTTGATTTTGTATCCTGCAACTTTGCTGTATTCCGATATCAGTTCTAGTAGTTTTGGAGTGGAGTCTTTAGGGTTTTTTATGTACAGTATCATATCATCTGCAAATAGTGACAGTTTAACTTCTTCTTTACCAATCTGGATTCCTTGTATTTCTTTGTTTTGTCTGATTGCCGTGGCTAGGACCTCCAGTACTATGTTAAATAACAGTGGGGAGAGTGGGCATCCCTGTCTGGTTCCCGATCTCAGTGGAAATGCTTTCAGCTTCTCGCTGTTCAGTATAATGCTGGCTGTGGGTTTATCATATATGGCCTTTATTATGTTGAGGTACTTGCCCTCTATTCCCATTTTGCTGAGAGTTTTTATCATGAATGGATGTTGAATTTTGTCAAATGCTTTTTCAGCATCTATGGAGATGATCATGTGGTTTTTGTCTTTCTTTTTGTTGATGTGGTGGATGATGTTGATGGATTTTCGAATGTTGTACCATCCTTGCATCCCTGGGATGAACCCCACTTGGTCATGGTGTATGATCCTTTTGATATACTGTTGAATTCTGTTTGCTAATATTTTATTGAGTATTTTTGCATCTACATTCATCAGGGATATTGGTCTGTAATTTTCTTTTTTGGTGGGGTCTTTGCCTGGTTTTGGTATTAGGGTGATGTTGGCTTCATAGAATGAGTTTGGGA